ATATATATATATATATATACTGTATATATATCTTAACATGCTGTCACGTCCTGTGTGTCCCACCCTGATTGGAGGCTTTAATGACTTTGTTTCAGCTTCTCCAACAGGAGGAAGAAACATGTGAACACACGAACCATTAACAGCTCAGAGTGACTGGAAACATGTTCTGACCTCGACACAGAGGCAGCAGCTGCACGAGATTCATTTTGTCTTTCTGAAGCATTTATCTAAGATTCATTCATTGTTGTCTCATCATGTCACAGTGAGGGATTCATTTAGTGGTCACCTGAACTATTGCTGATAATTAAACAGGTAAACTATGAGCTGCTCAACGTTTAAACAGGAAGTTGTTCTGTAGACTGTGATGGATGTTTATGACGGATTATTTGTCATATGAAGTGAAGCAGGCATTGGCGATGACATTCTAATACATAAACATGAAATACTACAAACATTGAGAGGAATCAATATCATATACAATATTGTATATTTCTGTCGTAGACAAAACTACAAAGTCACCATAACCTGCTTTTATCCTTTACGTACACTAATATTCTCCTTTACTTGTATACTTTAACGTCACGATCACCTTTAAGTGATCATCTGTTAGATGAAGGACTTCTTCGTAGTTACTTCAAGTGGAGTATCACAACCTGAAACAGTTCTGCTTTAGCACTCAGACACATCATCTCTAAACTGCATGAATGTAGGAATCTTATCATTGCAGAGTGTGTGTGTGTGTGAGTGTGTGTGTGTGTGTGTGTGTGTGTGTGTGTGTGTGTGTGTGTGTGTGTGTGTGAATGGAGTGCTCAGTGTGTGGGATCTATAATCACTTCTCCTGTCACTCTGTTTTTTTCAGGGAGCACAATGACTCATCAAGCTGTGAAGAAGACACTGTTTTCATTCCAAAATGACAAATCCAGCGTTTTAAAGAGCCGACAGCTTGTGTTAGGGAAACGAGCGCTGACACGACGGCAGAGGAAGCAGAATACTGATGAAGCTGTGAGCTGAGCTCACGTGTGCTCACATAACAGCAGCAATTAACAGCTTCAAATCCTGCTTCTTTAAGGGTGGGGGGGGGGGGGTAGTCTTTCACTTCTAGTGGAGAGAACATGATGAGGTGCTCTCAATAAAAGGTTGCTTTCTGTTGGACCCGTCCACCTCCCTTCCCTCAAACCCTGTGTGCGCTTTTACAGTTTTTAAATGTCCTCGTTCATGATGACGTGAATAACATACTAAATCATTTCCTGGGATATCTACGAATCAGGTACAGCTATGGATGCTGGATGAGACTGGCCTGGTTAGAGAACTCCTCATTACCTTGAAAAACATTTCAACCTTTACGCTGCAGAACCGTGAAAATACGTCACCGACTTTCAGAACATACCCAGTGAGATAATGACTCTCAGATTGCAGTTATTTTTTAGCAAAGAGGCATAAATAGCCTCCCTGAGTGAGGCCCCCCGGGCTGACGAGCTTCCTCCTGGCCCTCAGGCGAAGGCCTCCCGGCAGCCGGCACTCATTACCGCCTCCGCTCTGGTTAAGCCGTGGATCCACCTCTGCCTCTCCTCCCAAATTACCTCTCCATCCAACGCTGGCAAGCCGAGGAAGAGGAGGCCGGGCCACGTGGCTGACACGCTGTCTGGCTGCAGCGGGCCTGTAATCACACCGGGAACCGGGTTTCACTTTCTCCGCAGGTTGTGCGAAGGCTTTGCTGCAGGTCTGGTTTTGCTCTGTAGGCGTCTGGAGGAGATTCATTAACAGCTGCTGCAGCACAAGTTTTCATATTAATAATGAATCAAATGGCTCGCTGGGATGTGAAAGGCAGGTGCAGCCAATATGTAGATGCTCTTTGTGTTGGGGATAAATTCTCTTGGTGACATTTGAACAACATGGCTATCTTCCAACATTCATTCATCTTTATTTTTGTATCCATGTTTTGTTCATTTCTTTTTCTTTTTTCTGGAACTGCTTCCTGACGAACCATCTGCGCAGTAGACCTGCTGCTGTGTCTGCAGCTGACTCGTCCACGTCTCACTGCAGGAGGAGAAGCTTCCAGTAACTTCTCACCGTTAAGTCCATGCAACAACATCCGATGCATGAGAAGGATTCAACTTGTTTTTGGCAACACGTGTTCACGCTGCGGCCGGTAGCTGCCTTGTATTTTGCTTCATGGATGCTAAGCTAACCCAGCTAGGACCTGAGGCTACTCCACTACCCAGCATGCTCCTGGCTGTCTGATGCTCAGTCGCAGGGAAAATAAGATGGATGAAAGCAGCTTGAGGTCGGTGACTGCTGAGCCCACATCTCCTCAGAGACCTGGATCCATGGTGGTCCAGGATCAAGCAGGACTCTGGTGGACCAGAGGAGCAGGACTGTGTTTACATCATGCTGTTTGGTGCTCAAACACAGTCACAGTTGATGGACAATGTTTACATCATGTTGAGTTTTTAATGTGAAGATGACGAACATTTTATCTGAACAGAGAATAGTTTCTGTTGCTGCTGTTAACATTCATTATGAAGCTCATTTAAATGCAAATTTTGTTTATGTTTGTTTGTGTTTGTTGTGTTGAGCTGCAACTGTATTTCATTGTGCATCCCTGTGTTGCATAATGACGATAAATGATCCTTGAATCCTTGAATGTTGAAAAGTCATTAAAGAAATGCCATTAAAATGAAGTTAATAACAGAATACAGACATATCCTTTGACAAACCACGCCGGCTGTCTGTGCTAAGCTAAGCTAGGCCTCACAGCGTCTGAAACGTGTGACTCTGAGGAAGACAGTAAACAAACATATGTCTGAATATTTCTTTATTTATACATATGTCTGCATCACACCCACTCCTCCGTGTTCCCGCTGAGAGTCGGCGGTGAGTCGAGGCTGTCGGGGATGGATGCGTCTCGCTGAGCGTCATCAGCGAGGACCTGTCAATCAAACAGCCACCAGGGAGCTCCACCTGTGTGTGTGTTCACAGACGGGCAGGGAGCAGCATGCAGATGAAACAAACACCCCCCTCTCTCCACCGCAACCACAGGAGTGTGTGTGTGTGGGGGGGGGATATGAATTATTCTCACACACACACACACACACACACACACATACACTGTGTGTGTCATGCTTCACTAGATAAGGTAACGTATACATGCATATGGAGGAGAGGATGTGTGAGCATCTATCTGTAAATAAAGGAGAATTTATCTTGATCAGCTCTCACTTCTCTGTAACACAAAGCAAAACTGTAGCACTTTGTTACAAGTGAAGTCCTGATTATTCTTCTTTTAAAATAACATCGTCTAAATGTACCAAAAGTGTCAAAGTAAAAGCGCAGCGTTGTCGGTGCCTGTCAGTCTTTCATTCATTTATTTTGACTTATTTGGTTATTTTAACAGGCGGAATAAGATTTAAAAGATGAAAAATGGTTGAGTGGAAGATAATTATAACCCCATGACATACATATATATATATATATATATATATATATATATATATATATATGTATGGTTGTGTAATTCAATCTAACAATGTGAGTTGTTTCTTTATATCTGTTTGATATATAAAAAATGGGGTAAAGGTTTTCCACTTAAATGTTGTGGAATTCAAGTGTAAAGTAGCATTAAATGTAAAGTATAAGTCACTAATAATGCGTTTGTACTTGTACTTACAACCATAAATTGATTGACAAATATACTGTTATATTATTGTATTTTTTGTGAAGTGTCTTTTTATTCATGGCCTCTTAAAACTTGATATTTAGGGTGATTATTAAACAGCTTCTGTAGATGGGGCTTACGTATCGAAATAATTACACGTTTTGATAGCCTGCTCTTTGAAAAATGTAATATCGTTGATGAGCTTTTAATTTGAAAGGCATTGACAACTACTGGAAAGCTTTTATTCTGAAGACCCCAAACCGGAAATCGATTGACGCTAATATGTTGAGAATATAGCAGTGCTAACAGCTAGCTTAGCTAGTCTCGTTAGGTGCTTTAACCGCTGCAATAGTCCTGTCGCACTGTAAGCTTGTAAATATCATTTAAACTGATTAAAGAAACGTATATTTCATCCACGAGGAGTCAGAATATAAGTTTTAAAAACATAATTTCGCTGGCAGTTAGCTAACGTTAGCTACGTAACCAGCTAGCGTTAGCTCTCGGTTGCCGGACAACGGAGAGAAGCTAAACAAACAAACCAGCTAGCGAGCTAGCAAATGCTAACGTGAGTTTAACCGGAAGTGAGTCAAAATAATAGATTTTTGGTTGTTGTATAATTTAAACGTTTACTTGTATGACTGGTCGCCGGTGTTACGGTTTATCACGCGACCCGGTTAACTGGTGACTTTCAGCCACGTGTTTTCTTCCTGTTCGCAACGGCTGTAGTAACCATGACAACAACGGACGCGTTCGGCTGAAAGTCGCCAGTTAGCCGTAAACACCGGTACTATAATAAAGAAGAAGAAGAAGACAGATAATAATGGCGGACGACGGTCGAAGAGGAGAAGAAGACGCTGGTCCTGGAGCTGCTCACCACGTGTTTGTCGTGATGGAGGTTTTACTGGAGAAGTTAAAGGTGCTGAACTACGAAGAGGAAGTTCTGATGAAGCACAACATGAAGAATCTCTCCAGGTGAGAAACATACCTGGAGAGATACAGCTGTTACAGCTCAGAGGTGTTTGATTCATTTTGTTTCGGAACATCTGTCAGAACATGTAAACAGGTCAACAGTAAGGATCACAGTGTGAGAAGTGTCACACAGCTGTGTACAATATCCCAGCTTAAGGTATACATGTAGAGGAAAACTTCCACTATAGTGTACTTCTACCTTGAACTGGTGCAACACGTTGAGCAGCAGTAATGTAGTGATAATGATTATAGTGAGAACCGTTATATGTGTAGTTCTAAAACCATCCTACGTCACAGGAAGACCATATGAATGATCTGCCTAATGATCTCCCCTCTTATCCCCCGTCAGGCATTACTTTGTCTCCAGTCCGTATCTGGCGTCCAACCCGGGCGAGCAGTTCTTCATGTTCACCATCATCGCTGCCTGGCTCATCAACGAGGCGGGGCGGCCGTTCACCGAGCCGCAGGAGTACGACGAACCCAACGCCACCGTCGCCAACATCCTCGCTGAGCTCAGAGCCTTCGTGAGTACCGCTTCACCCTCCGATCAATCTCTGTAGAGTCCAGTCAATAACGTGTTTCTGATGTTTTCAGGAACAAAACCCATCAAACATCACGCAGCCACTGACAGCTTCACTTGGGTTTTCATTTTCCACTTATTGAGGGACCGGCTTCTTGCAACTCTGCATGAAGAAAGGTGTTAAAAAGGTCAAAAGACTTCCTTTTGTCCTCGATGAAACTGTCAGAACGCTCTGTGACGACAGATGAACGGTGAATAAATCAGTTGAATGAAATATGTAACGCTGAAGAAAGTTATTTCTGATCCTGACCTCGAACTCGGTCGCCTCAGACGGATTCGTCAGCTGCTGTTGAACAGTCAGAAGACTCATCTGTCTGGTCACTGTGTCCGTCAGGGGGTGAAGGTGGACTTCCCGCCCTCCAAACTGAAGTCGGGTTCAGGAGAACACGTCTGCTTGGTGCTGGACCGGCTGGCCGAGGAGGCTCTGAGGAGGAAGGGCTTCTCCTTCAGGAGGTACTTCTCAACAGTTCTCCTTTTCTTCTTCTTCTTCTGCTTTAATAAGGTGCGTTCACACCAAACACAGCAGTTTACTCGCGGGGCACCATCGTGCTAGACGTGCCGGAGAGGGTGCGTGGCTCATCGCCCTAAAAGCCGTTATCAACTTAAGTCGTTTATTTCCTCCATCAACCATGGAAGCAATAACCTCTAGTGCTGCTCAGTGCTTGTTGTGGAAGATATCCTGGAAACCAAACGCCTTCTTGTCCGAGTTCATCACATCATCTGGAGGTTTATTCACTGTCTGGCTGGTTTACTGCAGCTGTATGAACACAAGATACACTGATTCTGCTGTGAGTTAACAGCAATAAACAGATACAAAGGATGCAGAAACAACTACATAATGATGAAGATTTGTAGAAAGTCTGAATTCATGTGTTGTTAGTTCTCATTCAGTGCTACTCACTAAAGCACACTGATAAACAAAGCGTTTTAAATCAGCGTTATTCACGCTCGTGTTTACTGGCTAACATCTTCTTTCTCTCTGTCTTTGCTGGAACGTTGCCGTATGTCTTTGCTCATCACCGCTCGTTTCTTTTGACCTCCCGTCCCTCTTCTTCCCTCCAGACCACACTACCCCACAGAAACCACAGAAGAAGAGTCTGTGATGGAGGACGACGCAGAGCTCACACTCAGCAAAGTGGAGGAGGAGATGATCGTAGGTGTCCCAGCTTTATTGAACCAAACCACTTCTATTACCTCAGTAAACATTGTAAACATGAGTTTATGGTCTCAATC